ATCTTCAGGCTGGCCCAGTGTTCAGTTGGCATGTCCCCACCAGATCTTGAGCACTTTTAACTTTCTGGCACAGGATGTTTCATTGTTAATCTTTTAGGTTTCTTGCCCAGCTCTGGAATCAGCCATTTCTCTGAGAGTTCCTAGTTCCTTTTAATGGCATTTAGTAACCACAATACAGACATTAGGAGTGCTCACTGCAACTGAGTTGTTACTTCTAGCCCCTTTCAGAGGACAGAATTAGGAACTGTGTGTGTGTGTGTGTGTGTGTATTCATACAGCTACTTACAGTTCCAGTCTAACTCCAGTTTTCCCTTGCCTTTCTCCATCCTTTATTTACATTTCCAGACTCAGTCAGAATCCTGGTTCCCCAAAATATCAATATATGTACTCATTTGCATAAAAATAGTTTTTGTAAGTTATACCAAAACAACTTATTAACTCAAGTTCCATCTCTCATTGTAACACAATCTCTCTTTTTCCCTTAGAATGTACATCACTGTGTTTCTTCTTTGTGGTCATATTATCAATGTTAGGGTTTTTGTTTGTATTTATTTTTATGTTTATCTCCTCCTACTTGTTGCTTTATCTTTGGAAACGTAAAACATTAAAATGATTCAGAGGTTCAGGCTATAGAACCTGGGACAATTTGTTCTATATTGGGCGCCTGGGAATCGAGGCCCCTTGGGTACGCACAGAGAAGAGACATCCCCAACTCCATCGCTTATCTCATTTCCCATCCACCTCTGAGTAATGTTCCAGTGCTTGATCTGGATGTGGGGTTGCACAGGTGTTTTATTTTCTAGTATTCAACAAGGCTGAGCACGTATGATTGTAAATTTTTGTATATTTCATACATGAATGAAAAAGTAAATGGGCCCAGTGAGGTGTGTCAGTCAGAGCAGCCTATCACCAAGTGTCATTGAATAAAGGGAATTATTAACAGAAATAAGGCCTTGCACAATTGTGGGATGAGCTGGGAGAAGTAAGAGTCCAGCGAACAGTCCCTGAGGAGTCTTCTCCAAGCATGGCAAGGTGCTGAAGTCAGAGACACAGGGCAGTCTGGGAATCTCCATCTCAGCACCGGTGTGGGACCAGGAAGGGGCTGGTGGAAAAGCTGACGGAAAACGACCACTCCGCTTAGCTGCCACTCCCGTAGGTCCTCAGCCAAGTACCTGACGGCTGCACGGGAACCACTGAGGGACAGGGTTGGGAGGACGTGGGCCTCCTGTGCCCCTTTGGGCGGGTATCTTTTCTCTGCCCTTTGGGGTCTATGTGGCCTTTTTATTTCACTGATGCCTCCGATGTTCCTGCCAGTTGGCAAGGGCTTGCTCACTTTCTAGGTCTGCACTGCTGCGCCTCAGAGCAGCGTTCGTCTGGCAGAGACATCTCTGGGCTTGGATCCTCCACAGCCCCTGCTGCTTCAGCAGTGCTGACCTTCTGGTCTGAGGTCTCTTGGGACAGCTGGGTAGCTTCCTGGGCTCCAGGACGGGGGTTGTGGCCTCTTAGGCCAAATTACTCAAATAATTTGTCTGGGCCCTGACCGGATGGCTCAGCTGGTTGTAGTGTCGTCCCCATACACCAAGAAGGTTGTGGGGTCAGTTCCCTGTCAGGGCACATACCTAGGTTGCGGGTTCAATCCTGGTTAGGCCATGTGCAGGAGGCAGCTGATGGATGTTTCTTTCTCACGTCGATATTTCTCTCCCTCTAAAATTAATAAAACATATCCTTGGGTAAGGATCAAATAATAATAAAAATAATAATAATTTGCTGGGGCTTCCTAGATTCATTGAAGACACTGTCAAAAGCCAAGAAGTAGATGTAGTGAGAAGAAAAAAGAGCAAAGAAGGAGATGGGCCACAAAACTCCCAATCCAACCTGTGGTGTAGGGGAGGAGAGAGGAGCAGGGAGAGAGTGCTGCAGGCAGGTTTAAAATAGACCGAGTTTACCAAGAGCGGAAGGAAGGATGGTTCATCTCTTAGCAACGAATTTCCAAACAGGTGCCTTTAAAGTGGTACTACGAAAGATGAGATTGAAAGATTGTAAGCAGAGAAGTTTTCTGGGGGCTAAAAGGTACTGGCTAATTTTGCTGTAAGGCAAAATTTTCACATCTCCAGAGCTTTCCAAGAATTAATAGAAATGTCAGTGCATAGATGTGGGTGTTGCAACACAGGTGAAAAGGTATTTAATTACAGATGCATAACAGGTAAGGGGGTATAGCTCAGGGGTAGAGCATTTGACTGCAGATCAAGAGGTCCCCGGTTCAAATCCGGGTGCCCCCTACTCCTTTGGTTTTCCTATTCAGAGCTGTTGCTCATATTCCCGTTTCCTTTCAGCCATGCCAATTATGATCCTTCCTGAAATTAGAATTCTTACAATTAGATCCTTCCTGAAATTAGCCCTTGCACAACTGCTTTCTGATATCCGGTGTTTCCCCTTCTTTATATATCTCATTTGTCCAACTCTTTTGGGTCCTCAAAGAGAAGGCAGTGACTCTCCTGCAGAATTTTGCTGGGCTTTTCCAGGGCAGCAGAAGAGAGCTGCAGATACAGCAGATTTTGAAGGAACAAACAGTAAATGGGCAACCTAAATTGTTATCTCACCTTCCCACCGAAACAGCTTGGCACGGTGGAGTGGTGGTCAGACCTATGGAGACAAACCATAGCATCCAGTTCTTCTCACAGGGTTGACATTTCCCTCTGGGGAGCTGGTTTCTCCATACCAGAACTCACCCATACACTTGCTTCAGCCTCAATGGCCAAAAGGCCAGCTTAGCAACTCCAACAAGGGAAACCTAGATTCTGCAGTGTTGCTCCTCCACAGCCAAGTGTTGGAGCTCCGTGACACTGTCTGAATTCGAGCCCATTTCTGTCTTCCCTGGAGGAAGAAAGGTGAAGGACTGGGAGTCCAGATAGGTGGGTAGTTTTGGAGATGGTTGGGCTGCTCGTGGGCTAAAACAAAAAAAAGCGATGGGAAATGTTTGGGGGTTTCAACAGGCAGCTTCTCTCATTTTTTCCTCTCTGATGACCACACCCAGGAACTGAGGCTTAGAAGCTGCAGAGCTGAGGGAAGGTGTCTTATTATGAGCTGGTCTGGCAGCTTCATAAAGTCAGTCCTGGAAGGGAGCAGTACTTAATTTTGCAGAGCCCAGTGTTACCACTCAGATGGAAGGCATCAATTAGGCTACATTAATATCTGAGGGGGTATAGCTCAGGGGTAGAGCATTTGACTGCAGATCAAGAGGTCCCTGGTTCAAATCCAGGTGCCCCCTTAATTTTTAAATAGTCTTTCCAGTTTCCTTCGCAGCTCACCATCCATCCTTCGTTCCTAGACAAGCACAACTTGGAGGTGAAGTCTTGAAGGAGGCTGGTGACTTCAGGAGAGCTACAGCCCAGTCATACTGATGGACTCACTAGATGTTAAGAAAAGTGGTTCCCTGCATACCCCTAACAGCAATTGGAGCACTGCCGAGTTCCCAGGAACACCAGGTTTTGATTCTAAGTGTTAGAGGTGCCCCGATGCCCGCTGGCGTGTTAGAGTGTGTCACCTTGGATAAATTGCTCAATCTCATTGTGCCTCAGTTTCTGCATAACCTGGGAAAGGGATCATTCATCAGGGTGTGAACACCATCAGAAGTCTGAAAAAGATTGGGAAGCTGATTGGCTATTTTTAAACGCTTCTGGTTCATCCCAAGCCTGAGACTACATAATTTTAGATGAATCTCTCTCTTTCTCAGGACCCGCACCATGCAGATCTAGCGGCCACCAGGGCCCACAGACCACAAAGGCTTCTGAGGACTATAAAGCAGAAATTCTGTTCGCTGATTTTTATTTCAGCCATGCTGAAGCATGGTTGGACTTTTCCCAGGGCGGGACAGAGGGAAATGGGACGTGGGAAGCTCAGGGGCAGCCATCACCAATAAGCCACCTTGCCGTATCACCATCTCCCGTGTGTGGATCCTTGAAATGCTTTTCTCGAATTCCCATGGAAGAGCCTGTCGCCCACCTGTAGCAGGAGCGTGCCTGTGACGTAATGTTGGAGGCACATGATTAGATTAGAGAGAATGTGTTAGAATTCCGACTTTGTTCTGTGGTCAACAGGAGCCCTGCACACTGCAAAGAAGCAACAAGGTCAGTTCCTTTATTTGGGAACATCACTTAGGAGACATTACAGAGAATGGAATTTGCCAAAAGACAAGGATAAGGAACTAGCATTATATTTTTAAGCACTTACTATGGGCTAGTACTGTGCTGGGCAATTTATCTTAAGTTGTCATATTTGTCACAAGAAACTTGTCCCTACTTAAAATAAAGAAACGGGAGCTTATAGAGTTAAAGAATTTGCCCAATGATGCATACAGAGTAAGGAACCCGAAGCAGAGGAGAAAAGGAATTCCAGAGAAAATTTTAGGATAAAATGATAAGACTTGGTAGCTGATAAAGATGGATCGGATGAGGAATAATGTAAGAAAGTAGAGTTAGATAATGATTACTTTTGTCCAAAGTTAAATACAACAGTGGCTAAGGGGAAAGTGGGAAACCTATGATAATTTAGGATAGAGACTTTAGTGTGCTTTTGGCTGGGGAAGGAGCAGGATTGAGAAATAACTGAATTCAGTTATGGGTCAGGAGTATAGACTGAGTGGTCACTTTGGAAGCGGGAGGGGAATGTTTTTTCTCTGAGATGGAAGCAAAAAGGGTAAGGACAGCTGAAGACAGGTGTCAAGGAGCTGAGGTCTAGCTGCTTCTGTTCTCTGTTAAGCAGAGGTACTGTCTTGTGAGGGGACAGAAGTGGGTGAGGAAGTCATTGATGAGGCTGCAATCCAAACAAAGGGATCGGATGGCCTGTGATGGAGAGGAGCGCAGTTTGACTGGAGCTGTGATCTGGTTCTGCACCTCTTTGACGTCCACCTTGTGTGGGCACTGAGAACATTGCTCTCCCCCAGATACACTTGTCCCCACCCAGGTCAGCACAGGAAATGTGCTAATGTTTTCAGCTCCTTATTTTTTTATTCTATGCAAAGCCCAACCCAAAGAGTCCAGGTTTCTCTCAGGAGTAGACAAGGTTACTGGTTCCCTTGTGTACGTCCTGGTTCCACTTTCTGTCAGCCACACACTAACCATCTTTTGGGTAATCCTCTCTGCAGAGGAATCCATTAGCTCAATATGTACTTGTGGGTTTTACCAGTTGTAGCCAGGGTGCAGGGAGCTCAGGCCTCAGTTCTGAGGGTCTTTTCCTAGAGTCCTCAAAAGGAGACAATAAAGGAAAGAAAAAGAAACTAGAATTTGCAGGACAAAGAAGGTAGGAAGTTTAAACCAAAATACTATCAGTATTAATACTAAGTATAAATGTATAAAAAATGCCACAGTGAAAAGACAAAGAATGTCATGGATTAAAAAACATCAACTCAACTATATGTTGTTCACAGGAGACACATATAAAACATAAGGATAGAGATATCTACACTAATAAAAGAGAAACATGGTAATTAGTGTCACTCTGCTACCCTTCCCATTGGCTAATCCCCCTGTCACTCACAGAGTAGGGCCGAGATATGCAAATTAACTGGCAGTCAAGATGGTGGCCGGCAGCCAGGCAGCTGATGTGAACAGGGAGGCTTGCTTGCTTCAGTGACGGAG